TCAGAAACAAGGAGAAAATTCTCCAAGCTGTTAAAGGATTGGCTCTGCTAAAAGTTATTAAGCTAAGGATGATGAGAGAGGGATCTGTATTCAATATGGAGAAATTGTTATTTCATGGATTGAGGACCGAACAAAAAAGTGAATCCCTCCCAGTATATTGACAGTCACTGCTAAGGCATGAAGCTTGTTTGAGATCTTCTTAAAAACAGCAAGACTGGACTACAATATGGTGTTCACACAATGCCCAAATCATATATCATCCTATTTCACAGATCATATTGTGCTGTTCAGTGATGTGTGACTGTATTTTTATTCAATTTGGAAAATAATTTGTTCAAACTTGATATAAAAATATAAACCAAACCCACTGCCATCAAGTCAATTCTAACTCATAGTGACCCTAATAGGGTTTCCAAGGCTGTAATCTGAAACAGACTGCCTCATTTTTCTCCCACAGAGCAGCTGGTGGGTTTATACCACCAACTTTCTGTTTTACAGCTGAATGCCTTAACCACTGTGCCACCAAAGTTCCTCAGACGTGATATGGTAATTCTTTAATAGAGTAAAATGATATTTTTCTCCCTGAGGCCTGATGTTTTCTGTGTAACTAACTCAATTACATAATGTCAAATTTGGTTCTAATTTTGAAAGTGCCCAAAACATAATTGTATGAACTCTGTTTTGTTTTTTATTTTTCACTGTTTTCTGTTATTATACAATATATGAGCATTTATATGTTTTAACTTATTTTGATGTTCAAATGTGTGTCTAAAAAATATACTAAATTCACAACTTATGAATCAAATTCCAATTTTTCATTTACTACGTACTTACTGAATAACTAAAATCATACCTACCATCAAGTAGCTTACAGATGAGGCTGCTTTATTAGATACTTAGCTTTAATTAGAGCCTTGAGCCAAACAGTGTTTTACAATATCTTCTGGTATAAAGTGTGGACTGTGGCAATTTAACCACATCTACATTTTTAATGATTCTAACCAAAGCAGAAAAGTTTACATAACAAATCAAAATTAGCTTGAAATAAAAATGCAAAATGAACTACTATACATTATTTAGCAAATTTTTCTTCCCTATTCTAACTGGAAGGAGCTCTGGTGGTGCTGTGGTTAAGGCTTTGGGTTGTTAACCAAAAAGTTGGTGTTAGAACCCACCAGCCTCCCTGAAAGAGAAAGATGAGGCTGTCTGCTTCCATAAAGATTTACAACCTTGGAAATCCTATGGGGCAGTTCTGCTTTGTCCTATAGGGTCACTAAGAGCCAGAATCAACTCGGTCAGTGGGTTTTGGTTTGATATCCTAAATGGCAGCAAGTATATAATCTTGAGCCATGGCATATATGTTTATATATATATGTATATACTTATATCTTTAATTAATTGAATTATATTTTAGATGAACTAAAGCTTTTCATAACATTTACTCAGCAAATCCCTTTGTGACTAATTGCCCCTTATTTTATATTGATGTTTTCAAACCTTTATTCACTTCTGTACCACCTTCATTATTTTTATCATATTCACAAATCATTTGTATCAGTATATACTTAATATTATTTCTGAAATTCCTCTTGCCTTTTAAATTTAAATAAAGTTTTACTGAAATATTATTAGTCTCACTTGCTATGAATGGATATAATTAAGAAAAATAAATATGTTGTTATGTAGCATTAAAGTATTTTCCCATTATGACCTAAGTATCATAACACCAGTGGCAGATATATCACACTTTGGGAAACATTGTCTGTATAATTGTAAGTTCAGATTTTCAGAAATTTAATTTTCTTAAAACAAATATAGTTTAAATAGATGATAAACTCAGTAAGAGCCAAGATTGCATCTTTCTTGTACTGGTTGGTATCCTCAGCACTTAGTACCTAACATATAGCAGCTAGTCATAAATATTGAATGATAAATGAATGAACGAAGGATACATGTTCATTCTCTAAAATGCCCCCATTACTAGTAATAATGTAACAATAATAAAATAGTACTCAAATTTTATATGAAAATACAAGAGGGCAGGCATGCTTTGGTATCCCAATCTTCAAAACACTAAGTAATATAATGCACAACATTTCTATTAAATTTAAGTAAATAAGTATGTTTTTAGATCAAGAGAGGTTGTTATAATATAAACAAAGAGAGATGGGGATAAAGCAGTATAGGCGTGCACCTGGTGACTGGAAAGGAGTGACAGCAGAGAAAAGCAAGTATGCATATATGTCATGAGGTCTGAGATAACCCTAGTACTGTGTTAAGGCAGGAAGAAAAGACCAAACTGAAGGCTAAATATACATGCAGAAAGTTGCTTCAGTGAACAAAGTTCTGTTTTACTAATAGCGACTTCTAATCATCAATCCTACCAGCCACTCCTCGGAAGGAAGGTTGGGCAATCCTACTTCCGTAGTGATACTGCCTCGGAAACCCAAGGAGGGGTCGCTATGAGTCGGGGCCGACTCGACGGCACATAACAACAACAACAACAATCATCAATCCTAAAGACGAAATTCTTCTGAAATGAGAGACTCTAAACATCCTTTTCATGATCTTTTGCTAATAAAACTTACCTTGAAAGCTTAAATCCCAACTTGTTTTGTTTTTCATGCACTTAAGTAATGACATAATTTTTTACATCATTTAGGTTAGAAGAAAAGATTGTAGAAAGCTGAAATGAGGGTAGAATTCTAGACCCATTTATGATTGGAGGTTAATCAATTAGGAGATACTGAAGTACCAAGAGGCTGTTTCATAAAACTTATGGGGCCATCATAAATGGAAGCAGCCCACATCAGCTATGCATCAGGATGTCAGTGGTTAGCGGTTTCACCACCAACAATTATTTTGACAGTAGGAATTAGTGACAGTTTGTTGTTGTTGTTATGTGCCGTTGAGTCGGCCCCGACTCATAGCGACTGCTCCTTGGGTTTCCGAGGCAGTATCACTACGGAAGTAGGATTGCCCAACCTTCCTTCCGAGGAGTGGCTGGTGGGTTTGAACCGCCAGCGTTCTGGGTAGCAGTCAAGTGCTTTAGCCACTATGCTACCAGAGCTCCCTTAGTGACAGTAGGAACTGACTTTTGAGAAAAGGAACCATAGAGGCAAAGCCATTTATAGTACAGAAATAAAATGTTGCAATGACACAAACTATTTATCTTTCAATCTGTTCTCTAATCTTTTCAATCTGTTCTCTAATCTAAGAGGACATTTTGCATACTGTTTGGAACAATAGCTTAATTTTCTGATGCTTTTTTTTAAAGCTTATTTAACCTTTTATTCATTATTTTCTTTCAAAATTGAACATCAGAAGAGAGGAAATTTAAAAGATAAAAGAAATACATGCTTCTGAGTACTTGAAGTCAGATGAGACTAAAATAGGAAGGGAGTGAATTCTGTCAAGTTGGAGTACGCTGTCTAAGGGGAAGGATTCTATTAAGCAGGTGGCCTTACCTTCATTGTCATGAGGGACTTTACCATGTCTGGTCACTGCAGCAGAGGATATGACCCATGTGAGAGGAGTATATATAAGAAGGGCTTTGGCAGGAGAAATCTTCAGTCATGACATGGGACTCTCAGGATTAGAAGTGGTGCAGGTAGAATTTTTTGGCAGTCTCAATAGTACTATGCCACTGGATAATTTAGTAGGGTCTGAGTCAAATGCCAAAGCCCCCAGAAACCAAGGAAATATACGAGAAGTGGACACTTTGTAAGGCAACTCCAGGGAATACTGTGCCCTCTGTGAGCTCAGTAAGGGACTTGCATGAAGTTGCATATTTCCACCATGCATTTCCCCCATCCCCCTCGACCCCCCAAAAAAAAGTGCTCACTGCATTTGGAAAAGGAGCTCTGGTAGTGTAGTGCCTAAGGCACTTGACTGCTAACCAGAAGGCTGGCGGTTCAAACCCACCAGCCAATCCTTGGAAGGAAGGTTGGGCAATCTACTTCCATGATGATACTGCCTTGGAAACCCAAGGAGGGTTCGCTATGAATCAGGTCTGACTTGATGGCACTTAACAACAACACACTTGGAAAGAGTAAGGAGCTTCAAAATATCTGAGAGTCAAAATACATAGATCTTTTATATAGATATGTTACCAATTTCAGTCTGGGTCTACTTATATGAAGGAGCACACTCTAAAAGTTAGACCACTGACTTTGTTTAAATTCCATGATTTTCTTTTGCTATGATTTTTTTTTCACATGTTTCATATACTGTCTACATGGGAAAACAATTTGTTTTGAGGATTGAATGAATTGATATATGCAAAACATTTTGAAATGACATAAATGGTATGTGTCCTTGAAAGAATAATGCATATCAATGAGCATGAATTCTGCTGCCATATGTTGGAGATGTTGTTACTAGTCAGTTTGAGCTAGGCTATGCTGATATAACAAAAAACCTAAAATTTCAGTGACTTAAAGCAGGAAAGTTCATATAATATATTCATCTCAGGTAGATGAGGAATGTCCTCCGTGTCATTTTCATTCAGGAACACAAGCTGGTAGTGTTCAGTCTTGGTGGTAATTGTGATGATGGGGGAAAGGAATATGTCAAATCACCTACTGCATCTTAAAGTCTCTGCAGAAAAGTGACAAAATTGTTCCTTATCAGCTTAAGCATGTCTACACCTAACTTGAAGAGACTTGGGAACTTCAGTCCTAGCTTGTGTCCAGAAGAACTGGAAATATTTGGTGACATAATAATGACTGTCACTGATTACTTTCTTTCCAATTTCTACAGTTCCATGACTTTTACAACAGAGACGTCTTTATTTCCCTTGTTACTCACACCACTATATTCTTCCTATACAGCTTTTAACAACTAAGTGGACTTTCTTGATTTTTTGTATTTTCTCAGTTTCAAGATTTTCTGGCATTAAAAATTTTGGTAAGCCTGCTTACAGAATTTCTAATTTCTGTGGGCAATTGTGTAACCTGTTTTTTTGTTTGTTTGTTTGTTTTGTTTTCTTTTGCAAACAGACATTGATGAATGCTCTGATGGCTTTGTTCAATGTGACAGCCGTGCTAATTGCATTAACCTGCCTGGATGGTACCACTGTGAGTGCAGAGATGGCTACCATGACAATGGGATGTTTTCACCAAATGGAGAATCCTGTGAAGGTCAGTAAAAGAAGACCTAGAACTCTTCTTTAACTTGAAGATTCTACAGTAAGATAGAAATGGTAGACATTCAACTAAATTTTTAAGTTATTGGAGACTTTTGTCTTAAGTTTACACAACAATGACTGGAAACATGTTAAAATCTAATTGTGTTTGCTAATTAAAGCAATTAGTTGATTTTTGGATAACTAAAATATGTGACATGAAACCAGTTATTTGTAGATATTTGCAGCCATTGAAAGTTTGTATTTTTAGAATGAATGAACCCATAAGATAACATAAATTTCAAACTTTATATGGTAGCATACAAAATATGTTCTACAAAAAAAGTAGAAAAAATAAGTAAGAAGTAGAATAGAGGTAAAATGAGGATAGAGGAAATATGACAATCATAAGACCAAGGATCATATACAGGCATACTTTGGAGATATTGCAAGCTCTGTTTCAGACCAGTGCAATAAAGCAAATATAGCAATAAAGTGAATCATACAAATTTTTTGGTTTCCAGTATATATGTGCAGTGTCATAAATTACATGGTATGGTTTTCTAGCCATAGTCTTTGTAACTCTCACCAGGTTACAGGGTGGGACCATGCAATTTAAACTCCTGATTGTTAAAGTCACCCACCTGGGGTATTTCTGTTGGAGCAGCTTGAAGTAATCTTCTGGGAAAGTTTGCACTCTCTCAGGTGTGTAGAACATTAATTTGGTTGGTTTTACCCCTCTGCCAGGCTCAGAATGAGCCTACCTATAGGCAGAAGAAATGTGATTACTAGCTGAGAGGGATGCACTACTGAGAGAGAAACCTGGCTGACAGACAGATGCCTGGTTGAGAGACGGTGGCAGTGGAACCAAAAGGCATGAGACAGAATGGCAGGCTTACCTGGCCCACAGAGGCAGAGGCCAGGCTGAGAGGCCAAGGACCAGAGAGGTGTGTCTAAGGGCACAGCAGAGGGGAGGCTGCCCTGATTGAAGAACTGTATCCTGAGTGTGTTCCTGAACTTGAATTGTAACCTGTTGCCTCCATAACAAACCCCGTAATTGTGGGTTCTGTGTGGTCAATGCAGCTAATTATTGAACCTAGAAACGAGGTGGTGGGTGCCGTGGGAGGGATGGTTGATGTCAAGCTTGGTAAGAAGGCTAGAGGGTGGCAGCATGTGTGGCCTCATGGGAACAGGCCTTGGGCTGCTGATGGTGATTCTTTCTTCCTCTAGTGAAATTAGAGGAGATCAGAAAATGCTGCATCCATGCCCCTTTAACAATATGAAAATTAAGTTTACACTATACTGTAGTCTATTAAGTGTACAATAGTATTATGAAAAAGTTTGAAATCTTGTGAGAATTACCAAAATATAACACACAGGCACAAAGTGAGCACGTGCTGTTGGGAAAATGGCACCAATATACTTCCTTGACCTAGGGTTGCCACAAACCTCCAGTTTGTAAAAAATGCAGCATCTGTGAAGTACAAAAAAGCAAAGCCCAACAAAATGATGTATGCCTGATCCACTACATGCTGTGTTGGGCTATTCCTAACATACTACTTTCCTGGCAAAGTAAGAGATGAATGCTGAATAGTAAGTAAAGAAAATATGGTCCCTGCTTTCAAAATGTTTTCAATCTAATAGGTGTAGAAAATTAAGTTAGATTATACTTAATTACTTGCTAATGATTTTAATGATTTTCAGTGAATTGACTATTAAACAACTTGATTCCTATATACTTTATTAAGGGGCAAGGTCTTAAGAAAGTAGAGAGAGTAAGCCTAGCCAAGTGAAGAATTGCCAGGGAAACCATCCACAATTGAAAGTTTGCCATCACAAGCCTTGGCACAGGAATGGAAAAACAAAACAAAGCTCATTATTTTTTCCATTTGTATTTACACCTTCATAGAGCAACAGTCTGAGAGAATAATGCCAGTAAGATGACACAGTCAAAGAAAACCTTTGAGAATGTATATAACCTAACAGTACTTGATAACCTAAGTGATAAGATGTCTTTTATCCTTGGGCCTCAAAGGGTTTTCACATGAGAAAAGTGAAATAGACTTGGTTGGTGGGTGCCAAGGCTCACAGTGTTTTGCCAGCAGCAGCAGCAGAGTTGGAACCACAACTCTAGACCCTGAGCAGAGACTTCCTCTGGATTTTCATATAAGAATGGGAATGTTTAGGGGCTAAAACCTGGCATTTGTAAATAACCTTAACTGTGGTCCAAGGGCTTGATCTTGCATTTTTGAATGTTGTAGATTGGGTATTTCAAGCCCTGTGAACAATGCCAGGAGCTACAGATTGCAGTTCATAAGGTAGATCAAATGTTGTGATTTTGCTCTTCCTAGGTAGGCTAGTTTGCCTGTATTTTATAGTGTTTTGTGGAAAAGAAGTCTTCAGGACTATTTTTTGGTGTTAAGATCATCTTTTTTGTTGTTGTTTTAACTATATACATAAAGAATATATATATAAGCTGCCTGTAAATCATTCAAATTATGCAGAAATATAAAGATTAAAATTGGAAATCTATCTTCATTTCATGTCCCCCTCTCCCTTCCACTTCTCTAGAGGTTTTAAAATTTGGTTGATAACCTGGCACACCTTTTTCTGTGCATCTAAATGTGAATAGAAAAAACACATAACTGCTGACTATCTTACTTTAAATTTATAACTTCACTGCAGGTCTTATCTAAATTCATGACCACATACCTCAAAAGAGTTATATTAGTTATCTATCAGTGCAGAATAAATTATCCCCAAACTTAGCAGGTGAAAACAGCAAAGATTTATTAACTCTCAGTTTTTGTGGTTCAGGAATCTGGGCCCAGCTTACAGGGTACCTTGGGATGAAGGCTTCCCTTGAGGTAGCAGTCTCATTTTGAAGATTTTGAAGGCTTGTCTGGGGTGGGAGTGCAAGGGACTGGGGGATCTGCTTCCAAGGTCACTCATGTGGCTATTGGCAGGCTGCAGCCCCTCAACATGTCAGCCTCTCCACAGGAATGCTTCTGGACAGGAACATCCCTCAGAGTAAGCCATCCAAGAGAAAGCAACAGCAAAAGTGGAAGCCTCAGTCTTCTTATAACCTGATATTGGATTTGACACTCAGTCACTTCTGCCATGTTCTTGTTAGAATTGTATCAGTAAGTCTAGCTAACAATCAAGGGGATGGGATTACACATGGGTGTGAATATTGCAAGGGAGGAATCATTGGGGGCCATCTGAGAGGCTATTTACCACAAAGGCCAACAGCACTACCCAGAATTCCTGCTTCCTTTCTCCAGTTCTTTCCCTTCCAGTCTCTGATACAACCATTTCATACCTTCTCCAATCTCCTAAAATCTTGGATATCATCTCCTTTCTCTTTTTCTTTGTTGATGGCTCTGTTTCTTATTTAACTGAGAAAATCAGAAACAGTCCTTAGAAAACTACTCCATGTCCACCTGTACTAGTCTGCTTGCATTTCTTTCTGTACTGCTGCTTTCCCTCCCTCCTGCTTTATTGGATGAGGTGCTGTGCATATATCAAAATCCAAACCCTCCATTGCACCTTGCATCCCCTCCTCTACTCGAGGACTTTGTTCTTGTATTACCTACTTTCTGTTTCATATTCTTAAATAGTTGTTGCATCACACATGTACACACAAGCTATAATAGCCCCCATATTTTAAATATTAAAAAATCAACAACAAAAATAACCTCCATTGACATCATCTGATTCTTCAAATATTTCTTCCTGCTTCTACTGCCCTTTAGAACTAACACTTGAAAAACTTCTATATTTGTAATTTCTGCTTTCTCACTTCCATTTACCTCTTAAAACACACCAGTGAGCCTTTAGTACCACTGCTCCAGTAAATGCTCTTTTCAAGGTTATTGGTAATTGTCACTTTGCAAATACACTGGCCAATGATTGTCATCTTAATTAACACTCAGACATTTGACCCAATTGATCATTCCTTCCTATCGAAAAATAATTTTCTTCACCTGGCTTTAGGAATCTCTTTTTCCTTGTTTTCTTGAACCCTAAAAGATTCTCCTCACTGTGTGAGGACTGTAGTTCAACTATCCCAGGACTCAATCATTTGTAATTTTTGCCATCTATTCTCAATGCCAAAATCAACCATGTCCATGATTTAAAATGGCATCTCTATGTCCTTGATTCCTAAGTTATTCCTTACTCAGACCTCTTCCCTAGCTCCAGATTCGTATATCTTGTTGTCTAGTAGGCATCTCAACTTGCATTTCTAATAGGCAACTTAGAATTAATAATATCTGCTTTTGTTTGTTTTTCAGCCATGATATGTTCAGTGCCTGGCACATAGTAGATAATAAATGTGTTTGTCTAAAGAAAAAGACTGAGAGAGATGATAGAGAGAAAGAGAGAGAGAGAGAGAGAGAGATAAGCTTTTTTATTTTTTTTAACTTTTTGTTGTGATTTGGGTGCAGTTTTACAAAGCAGATTTATTTAAAATTCAATGGTTCATACACATTTTGTTTCACAGCACTGATTACAATCCCCACAATGGACCAGCCGTCCTCCCGACTCCTCCCTGTGATTTCCCCTTCTCTGTGTCCTTCCTTCCCATGCATTCCTTCCTGCCTAGCTTTCTTTTGTGCAAATGATGCCTTTCTGATCTCCATGGTTGATTTCTTTAAGAAGTGCATCACCCTCTTGTAGGTGTTCAGCCCATAGGCCTGTCTATTGTTTGGCTGAGAATTAAGCCACAGAACTGAGTACAATTCCAGGCCCAAACGATGAGTTGGAGCAGTAGTCCTGGGGTTTTCACCAGTCTCTTTCCAACCAATAATCCTGGTCTTTTTTTGCATTTTAATTTTGCTTCAGATTTTTTTTTTTTTTTCCCAGCATCTCCAATTTTGATCCCTTTCTGAGTGGTTGGCATTGGTAGCCAGGCACCATCTAGTTCTTCTGCTTTAAAGATCATATAGGCTGAGGTTCTCATGTCCATTGTTGTTTTTGTTAAGTGCCTTCGAGTCAAACCCGACTCATAGCGAC